TTTTTTTGACTAACAGTGAATGAAACTAGGCAGAAGCTCTTAAGTTGAACTAAGCCTTGAGATACACAGGGAAAAGGTGCACAGTGCATTATTTAACAGTCTTTCTCCCAGGTAGCAATAGGTACTGACTAGTTGCCAGGCCTTGTCCGTGGCCCACCATCACTGTACGCCTTCATCTGAGTCGAGTCACCTCCTGTTTGTGATTAGACATGTCTGCTCCTCCTCACTCTTGAAATAGCCGTTCTGAAAGCATATCAGTAGCTCCATCGGTTGGAGATTTTAGCCTTGCTTTTGTCTTCCCCACTAATAGGCTTACTTTCTCCCTAGTGAGTGCTCCCTTTTATGGTAGTATAAAAGCTCCCCTCACCCCCCCCTTATCTTTTGCTTTATGAATGTGATTTCTTTCTGTTGAGTGCCTGCCCCACCACACCCCCATCCTTTGCAGAGCCGGTAAATTATTGAGTGTGCTCTGTAAAAAGTTTCTCACCCTATTTTAATTTCATGTACCACATTTTTTCTCTCTCATCAGAAACTATATTGCTTCCCACATTTGCATTTCAGGATTTTTAAAAAAGAAATTGTATTTATAATTGCATTTGGCCTAGTTCCCCATTATCAATGCTTGTACCATATGGGAAGTCCCAGGGATAACAGTCATGGTTCCTTTCTAGCTTCTTACCGTGCTCTTCTCCTTCCTTTCTCCCCTGAGCGTCTCACCCTCTCTACTCCAGTGCTTTTGGAACCACTAAGAAGTTTACATGGCCAAGGTGAAAATATGGCAGTACCCCCCTTTTACCATATATCTGTGACATTTATCATTTATACTCTGTCTACATCCCAGAGAGCTATGAGGTGCCTTAAGATAGGGAGGGGAAAACACCGCACATGTCCAATAATACGGTTAAAAATAGTCATAAAGGAAAATCAGAAATCATTGAAAGGAATCTGCAACACAGAGTACTTATCAATCATAAGAAGAAAATTCCTATGGAAAGTGAAAGAAGAACATAACCTTTTAATTATGCAAGGGCTTTGCTGTTTTAGACTAGCAGAGAAAGAAGATTGTAGCTGTGCTCTGAATATTTCTCTGTAGTAACACATTTACTGACAATAGTTCTCCCTTTCATCCCCCAAGAAATTTTTGTTCTAAAATAGAGAATTGAAGCGGTTTTTGGTTAGTCCCTGATTACCGTTGTCAACATCTTTAGTCTGACTCACACAAATTTACCACTAACAGCTACCACATATTGATTACCTGCCACGTACAGACCAGATAGAGGCTAGATATGCATTGCCACATTTAGTTATCATTAGGCTGTGAAATAGCTATTACAATAGTCACCCCTTATTTTCAGGGGATATCTACCAGGACCCCCAGTGGATACCAAAACCATGGATATTCCTGAGTCCTGCATATACTATATTTTTTCCTATTCATACATAGCATTTCAATTAAAGGAAGCACTTTAGGCTTCTCGTTGGCATATCCGAATTGTCAGCATCGCTATGCTTGCACTTTGGGGCCATTATTAAGCAAAATAAGGGTGACTTGAACACAAGCCCTGTGCTACCATGACAGTTGACCTGATAACGAGGAGAGCTACAGAGTGACTANTTTTAAAAAAGAAATTGTATTTATAATTGCATTTGGCCTAGTTCCCCATTATCAATGCTTGTACCATATGGGAAGTCCCAGGGATAACAGTCATGGTTCCTTTCTAGCTTCTTACCGTGCTCTTCTCCTTCCTTTCTCCCCTGAGCGTCTCACCCTCTCTACTCCAGTGCTTTTGGAACCACTAAGAAGTTTACATGGCCAAGGTGAAAATATGGCAGTACCCCCCTTTTACCATATATCTGTGACATTTATCATTTATACTCTGTCTACATCCCAGAGAGCTATGAGGTGCCTTAAGATAGGGAGGGGAAAACACCGCACATGTCCAATAATAAGGTTAAAAATAGTCATAAAGGAAAATCAGAAATCATTGAAAGGAATCTGCAACACAGAGTACTTATCAATCATAAGAAGAAAATTCCTATGAAAAGTGAAAGAAGAACATAACCTTTTAATTATGCAAGGGCTTTGCTGTTTTAGACTAGCAGAGAAAGAAGATTGTAGCTGTGCTCTGAATATTTCTCTGTAGTAACACATTTACTGACAATAGTTCTCCCTTTCATCCCCCAAGAAATTTTTGTTCTAAAATAGAGAATTGAAGCGGTTTTTGGTTAGTCCCTGATTACCGTTGTCAACATCTTTAGTCTGACTCACACAAATTTACCACTAACAGCTACCACATATTGATTACCTGCCACGTACAGACCAGATAGAGGCTAGATATGCATTGCCACATTTAGTTATCATTAGGCTGTGAAATAGCTATTACAATAGTCACCCCTTATTTTCAGGGGATATCTACCAGGACCCCCAGTGGATACCAAAACCATGGATATTCCTGAGTCCTGCATATACTATATTTTTTCCTATTCATACATAGCATTTCAATTAAAGGAAGCACTTTAGGCTTCTCGTTGGCATATCCGAATTGTCAGCATCGCTATGCTTGCACTTTGGGGCCATTATTAAGCAAAATAAGGGTGACTTGAACACAAGCCCTGTGCTACCATGACAGTTGACCTGATAACGAGGAGAGCTACAGAGTGACTAACGGGCAGGTAGCTTATACATACAGCATGGGTACCCTGGACAAAGGGGTGACTCACGTCCCCGGACAACCGAACAGGATGGTGCGGGATTTCATCACGCTCCTCAGAACAGCATGCGATTTAACACGTATGAATTGTTTATTTTTGGAATTTTCCATTTAATATTTTCAGACCATGGTTGTCTACGGGTAACGAGAAACCCCAGTCCTCTGTGTTAGGGGTGAGGCGGAGACACTCCAAGTAGGTAACTGGATCAAAGTCACACAGGTAGGAAGTGGCAGAGTGAGGGTTTGAATCCAAGTCTTTCTGGGTTCCCTTTCTATTACTCTCTGACGCTTCTTGTTAAAGAACCGTATTGGAAAGCTTAGCCATTAACCCTCCTAATGGTTACCTCTACTTACAGTTTTTGTTCAGTTGTAGGGTTTCCTATTTTGAGATTCAAGAATATGCTCAAAATGGCATGCTGATTTGCACATGTGTATGTATGTAGGGTACATAATTTTCTCATGTCTTAGTATTGGCTGGAAGTTCTGAGATGGGACTAACTGCCCTGCCGTCTCCTTGGAGAAGTCAGGAGAAGGGCCAGGGGCCGCAAGGTGGGGATGAATGCGTGAGTCTGACCAGTCTGCGCCTAATCCTAGTGCTCTGAGGCAGAAGGGTACTGTCATTTATTAAGAGAGACACCTTACATGTATTATCTCATGTAATTCTCACAGCAGCCTTTGTGGTAAGTGGTTTTAGCTCCAATTTATAGCTAAATTGAGGCACACAGAATTAAGCAACTTGGTCCAAGTTCATATAAGGAGAAAATTGATCAATGCAGGTTTATCTGACCCCAAAGCCCATGGTCTTTCCCTTATAGCATGTTCTCATTTCTAATAACAATAATAGCTAATATTTACTGAACTCTTACTTTGTGCAAAGCAGAAATCTTACCACTTTATGGATTATTGCATTTAATCCTTACAGCAGCCTTATGAGCTACCATTATCTCCATTTTACAGGTCAGTAAACTGAGGCACAGAGCGTTAAAGTAACTTGGCAAGGATCAGAGAATGAGTAGCAGCAAATCAGGGATGGTATCTACCGAGTCTGCTTTCTTGCAGAGTGTAGTTTCAAGAAGTTTCCATTAGCTAGAGCTATACTCTGCTCTCCCCCCACCTCACTTTCCTTACCTGAATGACAAAAAATAGAAGTTATTTAGAGAGAAGAAAAAGAGTTTGCCTTTTTAGGAAAGCACGTTTACTAGGGAAATCCTGTTCTCTGAGGAATTGCCTATAGGTATAGTTCTTACCACTGTAGCCTTGAGATCTGCCAGGGCTGCTTCAGTACTCATGATACTTGGGTAGGATAGGTCAGCGGTGATCACCTCTGCCTTCGTTAGCCACTTTAATAAAGATAACAAAAACTCAAGCTTGTGATCACCAAGGTGCAAGAATGTTCCCTAACCCACTCCTTCCCCCCAGTTCAGTTAATCCGTGGTGATTCCCCTTCTTGTTCTTATGCCCAGCAGCCTGCAGTGGAGTGTGGGCTTTTATTGCTTTGTTTTGGTCAGCACGTACTTGACTTAGCAGCATAATGCATCTACCATGTGCCTGTGGCACTGTGATGAAGCATGTTGCCATGAGATGAAGCAGCCTTTGTGGCACACGGACCCGGAGCCTCGCTCCCCTTGACTCTCCAGTGTTAAGAGCATGGCAGTGCTCCATGGTGTAATTCTTTGGCTCGTGTGCAGCTTTATTGCAGGAAGCAAACAGAAGTGTTGTGTGCACTGAAGCGATAGGAATTCAAAAGCCACATACCTATTGTTCTTTGGATTTTTTTTTTCTTCCATCCATTGCTGCTGTTTATTTAATAGGACTCCTTTACAACCAAATAAAACTAAAAAAGGAAGAAGAAAGCTGGGTTTGATTTTATGCTCTGATCTTTTACTAGCTTCTGTGACCTTGGAGAACGTATTTAACCTCCCTGGGCCTCAGTTTCCTCATCACGAGGATTAGCTGTAATGCGTGGTAAGCACCCAGTGCAGAGCCTGGCATAGAGCAGATGTTCAGTATGGAGAACCTGCTATTATTATTATTATTATAAAATGCAAAGACCATCTTATGATGTAAAAGCTTAGAGATTTGTCATGATAGTAAATAGTGTTTCCCTGGGGACTTCTTTGTGCTACTTCTGTGAAATCCACGGAAAACAGTGGAATAGTGTTTGCAACAAGGAAAGATAGCCCTTTGTTCCCATCAGCAGACAAAAGAAGCTCATTATGGTATCAAGTAGTGACTGTTGCTATTGAAATGGTTTATTTGTATGTTTTTTTTTTCTGTTTTTTTCTCTAGGGATTTATTTGTGGCTTTTCAGTAGCAACAGGTGCAGCAGCGAGACTAGTGTCAGGATACGACAGCTATGGAAATATCTGTGGGCAGAAAAATGCAGAGTTGGAATCAGTACCAAACAGTGGCATGGACCACACCCATCGCAAGTGAGTAGAACGTTGCTGAATGTTAAACACAGTGGAAACTTTGAAGTGAGGGGGTGGAGGGAGAAAATTCTGCTTTTCTTCCTTTTATAAAGATATTTTACAGAATATTATTTTACAGACTCCTGTTGATGGGGTTTTGTGTGTGTGTTTTTTTAACTGTCCACTTGAATCATTTCCTGGCCTATAAATACTTTTTCCAAGAAACAAAACTATGTTATAATGGGGTACCTTAAAGTTTTATTAAAGAGTAAGGGCTTGATTTGAGCGAGTTGCTCTTTTTTTCCCCATTAGCTTTTTGGTTGTACATTAAGTTTTAACCCAAAAAATAACATGGTATTTTTCTTCCTACGATTATACTTGATGGGAGATAGAGGGATGATAATGGATTATGAAGCATTAAAGTTATAATGAAACATTTTATAATGCATAATTTATAGGTACCTATCAATCCAATTTTATAAAAGACACACTTGCTTTGTCAAACATTAAAATTTGTTTTGGGTTCTCAAGGTTCATCTTTTGGATTTCATGAACTTCCTGACTTAATTGTCTTCTTTTCTTCAAAAGAGCTATTATTTCATTTTTAATGTCTCTGGGGAAAATATATTTTATCAGTCATATTTTATGTATGATGTCAGTATATTTGTTGAAACTGTATATTTATACCCCCATCAGACTTTATTAGGTCTAATAAATAAAGACAGGACTTTAGAATTAACCAAACTAATTTTAAGGTAACAGGTTAACCAATTCAGTGAATGAACTTTATAGGAAAGGCTAAGTAAATAAAAACACTTTTGAGGCTGTATTTCCAGATGTAATAACTATATTTATTATGAGATAAATCTGTTGGTTAAATCTGGGTTCCTACTGGAAATTACAAGATTAATTTAGTAAATTTACAGATGTGAAGAAATCCTAATAGTTAATTACATCTCAGAGATATCCCTCCATTTAATGAAGGAATCATAAAGTTCAAATAAATAAAATTTTAAATAATAATAATGAATATTTGTGTAGCACACCATAGTCAACGAGCACATGATACCACCCTGTGAGGTGGCTGTAACGAGAAGCTTAGAGATAATGAAATGACTTTTCCAAAAGTCTGGTGGGCCATGGAGTATGCAACGCGGACCATGAGCTCTTCCCTTGTGAGCACCTGCATCGCGTGACGGGAGAAGTGAAAATCGGACTCTTAGAGGGTAATTTGGAGGATTGTTTCATTTATCCTTTCTGATTGTCTCATGGAATGAACACAACTTTAGACCTTGTGTTATTTCTTGTAGCAAGACTACCCCTATATTTTTTGCTTTTACTTTTTATTTCGAAATAATTTTAGATTCATATAGAAATTGCAAAAAAGTACAGAGTTCCACATATTTATTTATTTTTTTTGTAGTTAGTGTCCATGCTGTTAAGTATTGTTGAACTCTTTAATGCTGGTGACATGTACCAAATATAAAATACCACCATTTAGGTCATTAGGAGATAGGAGGTAAAGGGCTCTCCTCCCTCAGGTCTACTGCTCGCATGGGGTTGTAAGGATTTTTATGGCTCCCTTTATAACTTGCTGATGACTCCAAGCATATTCTCCCCGTAAGGTTTGTGTAAATGTCACTCTTCGCACTTCACCTAATGGAGGTTCATTTGGTCAATTTTTAAATTTCAGAGCCTTGGATTATTCTATGTACATTTTGACCTCTTACAGGAGTCTGCTATTATTACAAAAACGTGATTCCTTTTCCCTGAATGCTTAGCGTAGTCAAGAGCCATTCGTGGACAGCTGTAGGGGACATAGTTTCTGAAGTACAGAGATGCCCTAACTCATGTGTGCATGTTTAAAATTTATTTTTAATCTCTACATACCTCTTCTCTGCATATGAGCATTTTAGTACTGACCCATCTAAGTATTTCTATCTCTAAATGGTAATTTCAAAAAAAGAATGGTACATTTTGAACGTATGTTTCTCAGGTAAGTCTATTAGGATTTGAAAAGAGATCGAAAATCGTATGTTTATTACCTTTACTCCACCATCTTCTTTTTTCTGCTAAGTGCATTGTTTTTCTCTGCATCCACTCATTTCCTCATACATCTTTGGCTTTATTATGAATACCAGGCCCTTCCATAGCTATGGAATACATATTTTTACACCTGTTTTGTGTACTGTAACCTCAAGTTGATCTTGATCTCTTTCTCCTGTCCCTATCGTCAGCCCTAGTACCTAGTACTTACTAGGACCTACACACATATTTTTTTTAATAAGTTAATGAATGAATCCTCTAAAATCTTGAATACAACTAACTCTTTCTTGCTGTTTTGAATTTTTCTCAGAAAAACAATTTTTTCCCATTCTTCGTATGGCTAAATTCTATTCATCTTTCAGTTCTCAGTATAAAGGTTACTTCCCAAAATGGTCTGTTTGATCTCACAATTTAAATCAAGTATTTAAAAGTATTCTCTCACTGTGCGCTGTTATATGTGTAATTATACACTTATTTTGTGACTATTTGTTAAATGTTTGTCTCTTCTAAGTTCCACGAGAACAGAGATGAGGTCTGTTTTGTTCACCGCTCTATCCTCAATACCTAGAACGTGGTAGGCACTCGATTAAATGTCCGTTGGATGGGTAAATACATTTATTTCCTTTATAGAATATGTTTTAAGAAGTGAGTTACTGAGTCTGAGGATCTGAATATCTTAGGATTATTATTGCATGTTGTTGAATGGCTTTCCATAAAGGCTGTTCCATTTACATTCCCACCAACACTGTCTGCGATTCCTTTATATTTGTTAGTATTACTAGTTTTTATTTTTTACTAATTTGATCAGTCAGAATACGGTGTTTTATAGTTCTGTCTGTGTGTCTTTGATGATTCATGTGTGTGTTGGCCTCATGCAGGCTGTTGTGCTGGCACACTCTTGGTCTTACCTCTAGCCTTCTCCATCCTTTGTACTGTGATAGGATTAAGTCATTTAAGACACTTTATTGTCATTTCCCTGCTCAGGAGCTTTTCTTTTAGTGTTGTTGCCTGTAGTGTGAAAAACGAAGCCCCTCAGCTCCTGCCACCCCAGGCCTCCCGTAACTCGGACCCATTGTCCCCATGTCGCCTTCTCTCGCTGTTCCTCAGTGGAGCAGTATTGACCCCTGGTTGATTCTACCGTGGTGTTGTTTCCTCTCCCTCTCTGCCAATGAATTCTTGAAAGACTTAAGGTGGGTCTCATAACTAGCCTCTTTATGAAATATTTCAAAATTAACTTTATCCCATAATGATCTTTCCTTTATTCCCTGCACTTTCCTATTTCACACTTGTTTTTCTGTTGCCGCTACATTGTTTTCTAATTATATTCTGTGTTTCCACCTGTATTAATTAACAGTAGCTAGGTAACAATATCACCACAAGCAGTGGCTTAAAACAAGAAGCAGACACCTTTACTGTGTCACCGTTTCTGTGGTCAGGAATCAGGACCTGGCTGAATGGGGCCTCCAGCTTCAGAGTCCCTCCCAGGCTGCAGTCAGGGTGTGAGTCAGGGCTGGGCTCTACTAGGAAAGCTCCCCTTCAAGGGTTGTTGTGTGGTTGTTGGCAGCACACAGTCCTGAGGACTGGCAGACGGAGAGCCTTAGCTCCTTGCTGGCAGCCAGCTGGAGCACACCCTCCGCGCATGCTGCGTGGGCCTCCCCATGTGGCATGGACCTCTCCATACGGCGGCTCACTTCAAAGCAGCCAGGGAGCATCTATGGAGAGTCTGCTGGCGAGATGGAAGCGACAGACTTATATAATGTATTTATGGAAGTGATATCCCTTTGCCATCTTCAGCTGTTTAGAAGCAAGTCACAGGCCCCACCCAAAGTCAAGCTGGGGGAATACACAAGGACGTCGGGTTAATTGGGGCAGTTAGAGCCTGTCTGCCACAGTGCCCCACTCTGCCTCCCTGGAGCACCACATGTTATATCACTCCCAGGTTTGAGCACCCAAAAGTTACTTCACAAGGGCTTATTGAGTGGCAATAAAACAGGAGGGAGGACAGTCAGGAGAGAAATGGGAAAGGGAATGCCTTTGACCTGTTATAACCTGAAAATCTAAGATGCCAAGATGACTGTAAGAATCGTGTTAGTAGTAAAGAAAAGACAGTATTTTATTTTCTTATTTTAATTTTGATGTCCTCTTTTTCTCCAAATAATGTTTTTGACCTAATAATATATTTACTATAGTAAGGATATAGAGGAAAATGGCAGATAATATTTTATGGGAAACAGGAAGGCTCCGTCTGCATAGATTATGTTGCCAAAGGTGGTATTTAAGTTGGTTGCTTAAGATGTATAAAACCTTTCAGCATAGAAACAGTGCTTTAAATAAAGCTCTAAGAAGAGCTCAATTTAGAAAAGCTCATTTATGTTTGAACCATAAAGTGCCAGAGATGAAAAGGACCTTTAAGATTATCTAGCATGTAGTCTCCTTAAAACATCCCATCAAGTAGCTGTGAGTGCCAGCTAAGGCCCGGAGAAGAAAATGACTTGTTTTGTAGCTCAGCTCTGGTGATTGGTGGTGGTAATGGTACCATAGGACATGAGTATGGCTTACGGTCAGGTTGTAGTTTTTTTGGTTCTAGGGAGTGGGGTGTAATAATATATTTTGAACTCAGGTTGACAGTTCCAAAAACATCTCTCCTGCCACATTCTAGATTGCCTACAGTTTTCCAAACCATAAAGCTAGCCTTAAAGTGTAGGTGTCAATTTTTAGACGTATGATGATGATGATGGTAATTATAGTAGTAGCTCCCAGAGAGGAAGCCCCTCCCACCTTCCACATCCATTTGGATAAAGTAAGAGTGCTGCTAGTTCTAAGATTCCTGAATTAGCAGATGTGGGACTATGGATGGGGCAAAGCATCCAGCTCTGTGGGTCCCTGGAGAGACGATGTTTGGAGGATACTCTCAAAAGTTTTCCTATTGTAGCTCCCTTATCAAGAATCAATATTGATTTTCTCCATAGAGGTTC